GTCTCTCTCACTGTGACATAACAGCATCAACACCCCTACCACAATGGATTTGCCCACAGTCTGGACACCCCCATATTTATTGGTGTAACTATGATTTCGGATAGTCCGTCCGTAGTTATATAATTCGTTTGTTGTTGGGGAGTCCAGCTGTGGGAAACCTATATAAATCGCTCCTGAATTGATTCTTCTGAGCATATAGTGTCCATATGTATGATAGGACACATTTTCTACGCCTGTTCAAGCTTAATAGTTTGACCTCTTCACAGTGTGCTGGAGCCATATTCTCGCCCACTGTCGATAGATAGGGACTATAATTTATACGTTACGTTTTCTTGGTCCGTTCAAGTGGTTGGACGGGTTTCAGTTCTGTGGCCACTTGACCGGTAATAAAGCATCTTTGTTCTCTTCATTCGTTTACATGGGTGAGTTTTCCTAAAAGGATTTAAATAAATATATTTGTGCTCAGTGCCTGTGTGTGTTTGCAAGAAAAGGTAAGCTGAATGATAATGCGAAGCTGTTTTGTCTACGATCGCCTGCGACGAAAGACGACAGATAGCGATCCTGGTTGGAATGCACTTTCGGCTGAAATTTCTCCGTGAATTCTTCTAGCCAGCTTTCTAAACCTATTCGAATCAATCAATCCACCTGTCTGGAGTATAATTATTGTATTGTTAAACTTTTATGATCAGTTATTATCTTTTAATTGGTCTCTGAACTTGTTGAGTTGGTAGACCGTTGGAAACGGACAGAGCTCTTCGAGGAAAGCATGAAGTCATATCCGCTGTTGCTAGGAGCTGCTGTAACCACAACAAGCTTAGGCTTTGGAAATACTTTTGGAGTATATTCTGCTATCTTGGTTTTGTATTAATCTCCTCTACCTTATCTTTCCAACTGGTGAAAAGGGCTTATATGGAGGGATGGGGAATGATAGAGATGTGTCTGACTTTCGATACAAAACAGGTTTAGGAAACTATTGGAGTTAATAGAAACGTCGGTCTGGCTCTGGTGCTTACTCTGGGAAACTGTAGGGGCTCCAAGATATATAAAGTCAACCTTCATGGTTTGGACTAGCCCACATTTACCTCTGAGCTTGTGGAGAGCGCGAGGAGAGTGATTAACAGGGTACATTAGGTGAGGTTTGCTCATGTGTGTTGCCTTGTTAATTACATGAAATTGGAAGATCCAGCATGTATCCGTGTGGTAGTCAGATTCTCCCGCCAACCAGCAACTGGGAAGAATCCGACTTGTGTTGACTAGCCATTGCCTGATATGTCTGACTGTTTATGAAGTTCACGCCCACCAGTCTCTGGGAAGTTGATTGTCATTCGATCAATCCCAGGGGTCATCTTAATCGTACGGAGACGTTCTGAGTAACGAGACGTGGCAGAATTCCACCCTCCGGCACTCTGAGGAGCTGCAGGATCCGACCAGATAAGTTAAAGATAACATCACTTTAGCGGCCTGAGTCCAGATGTGCCTTCATAGTCTGTCTCAACTCTCCACGAAATGATGATTCTGGAAATGGATGCGGCGATGTAGGAAGACTCTTTCTCTAGTCTCAATTCTTCAAAGACTTAAACAGTCGTTCTGGTTCTTTGTGCTACATTTCATCTTTCTTGTTATAGTGCATTAAATACATCAGGTTTTTAGTTCACAAGAAAAGTTTGGGTTTAATGGAATCAATTGTCGTAGTCAGAAAGGTGTTCATGTCGTGTCCGACTCACTGTTGTTTATATATCTGACTGTGTTACGTTGTTTACCAGTCAGGGGGCAAAGTTAGTAATGGGGGAGTCTGGCCGAGTAGTGCCCAAGAGTTTGTAGTAACCCTGAGGAGTCAAAGCTCTAGTCACCCCATTCCTGAGATAGTCTGAATGGAAGTTTGAACCGAGGGCTAGGCCTCTAGACAAACGAGAGCCACCATTCAGAATACTCCTATCTCAGAGCACCTGAGGATTTTAGGAAAAAAATCCGGAAGAAAAGGTGCCAGACAAAACTGCCATACGACAGTCTTACATACCTGCAGTAGTCGTCTCTTCCATCACCATCCATGTCTCTCTCACACAAACCTGCAATAGTCATTTCTCCCATAACCATCCATGTCTCTCTCACACAAACCTGCAGTAGTAATCTCTCCCATCACCATCCATGTCTTTCTCACACAAACCTGCAGTAGTCATCTCTTCTATCACCATCCATGTCTCTCTCACACAGACCTGCAATCGTCCCTTCTCCCATCACCATCCAAGTCTCTCTCACACAAACCTGCAATAGTCATATCTTCCATCACCATCCATGTCTCTCTCACACAAACCTGCAATAGTCATTTCTCCCATCATTATCCATGTCTCTCTCACACAAACCTGCAGTAGTAATTTCTCCCATCACCATCTATGTCTCCCTCACATAAACCAGCAGTAATCTCTCCCATCACCATCTAGGTCTCTCTCACATAAACCTGCAGTAGTCGTCTCTTCCATCACCATCTATGTCTCCCTCACACAAACCCTCAGTAGTCATTTCTTCCATCACCATTTATGTCTCCCTCACACAAACCTGCAGTAGTCGTCTCTTCCATCTCCATCCATGTCTCTTTCACACAAACCTGCAGTAGTCATCTCTCCCATCTCCATCCATGTCTCTCTCACACATACCGGCAGCAGTCATCTCTTCCATCACCATTCATGTCTCCCTCACACAAACCTGCAATAGTCATCTCTTCCATCATTATCCAAGTCTCTCTCACACAAACCTGCAATAGTTATCTCTTCCATCATTTTCCAAGTCTCTCTCACACAAACCTGCAATAGTCATCTCTCCCATCACCATCCATGTCTCTCATGAACCAGGTGTGATGATATCCAGGATCAAAACCAAGTCTGGATACATAGTGATGACCTTGACCTGTGCTGCCGGCAAGGTTACACGACAAGAATCGACGCTTGAGTTTCCCGACAACTCTGCGTATGGAAGACATAAGTGGCGGACATTTAATACATAACGAAATGACATTCTGTGCTCTCTCGTATCCCCCCCCCCACTCTCTCTCTCTCTCTCTCTCTCTCTCTCTCTCTCTCTCGCACTAACACTCTCTCTCTCACTGTATATAGTTATGTATGTATGTATGTATGTATGTATGTATGTATGTATGTATGTATGTATGGATGTATGGATGGATGGATGGATGGATGGATGGATGGATGGATGGATGGATGGATGGATGGATGGATGGATGGATGGATGGATGGATGGATGGATGGATGGATGGATGGATGGATGGATGGATGGATGGATGGATGGATGGATGGATGGATGGATGGATGGATGGATGGATGGATCGATGGATCGATGGATGGATGGATGGATCGATGGATGGATGGATGGATGGATGGATGGATATAATAAAGAAAACGTTTTCAAAACATACAGACATATTGGCATATAGTGCTAAACCCATATTTTATGGAACAATTGGCACACTGTAGATTTTGTAGGCAACGTCACGTCGGGTGCCTTTACATCCGAAAAAAATATACCTTTACCCATCCAACGTTTAGCCGACCTAGGAGCCAAAGTCGTTTTAAAAAAAAAAAAAATGGTTTTGTTCAGATTTGAATAAACGACCTTCTGGTCCACCTGCGTGTGCCTAGCAGCTACACCGCGGATTGTATTGATGAAACCTTTTATGGTTCAACGGACAAGAAGGCGATTACCTACAGGCTCTGTGGAAAGCTTCGAGCAAGGCAGGGTACTTAAGACGCCTTGATCATCCACTGCACCTAGGTCCATTTCCAATAGTCACTCTCACCCAGTTAACAACATCCTATCGACGGCAAGATCTACGCTGGAATCTCAAATGCCAGCAGCAGTTTCGGCAGACTTTATACCAGCCTTTGGAATAAAAGTTGTATCTCCCTGCCAACCAAGCTAAAGGTTCACAGAGTTACTATAATTCTTCTAGTACTGCTCTACGCTTGCGAAACGTGGACTGTATCGGGGCAACACTAAAAAGTTGAATCAGTTATATATAACTTGTCTCATAAAGCTACCCAAATTCAAATAGCAAGATTGGATCCAAAATACTGTGGTTCTTGATAAGGCAAACCTGCCTAGAATCCACACGATACTGAAGAAGTTGGGCTGCGTTGGGCCAGACTATCGCTTCCCAGAGAAAGTATTTTATGGCGATCTCCAGCAAGGGAAGAGGTCCCAGGGAGGACACAAAAAGTGCTATAAGGACACTCTCAAACTTGCTCTCGATTCTCTCTCTCTCTCTCTCTCTCTCTCTCTCTCTCTCTATGTGTGTGTGTGTGTGTGTGTGTCTGTCTGTATGTGTGTATCTCCATATATTATATGTAAATTACATCTAGTACAACTAACTGAATCATGTCTCGGCATCTCATCTTATTCTTGTATCCAGATTGAGTTTTTTTTTAAACATGTCCAAAGCAGTGTCGGATTTAAGCACACGCTAAATAAGATACAACAGGAACCTCAAAAAATTAATTTGTTTCTACAAATGCAATTTTTTTTAATATAGTTAAAATTTTTCCTTACAGACGTGTTCTATTTTTATCAGTATTCTAATTGTAATAATGCATTATTATTTATTTATTGTAACTTTTTGCAACCTATTTAATAGCGCATATATTTTAAAGTCTCCTGAGATTAGCTGCTAAAATTTTAAACTGTCGTAGTTGGGGTAGGCAGCGCGGGGGGGGGGGGGGGGGGAGGTGTCAGGGCGTTATATATCTTAGAACCTCATCAAGTCTAAATCCGGCCCCTGCCCAAACGTGTCGCTCCAAACCAAAGGTTTCCAAAACTTTTTGGTCTACCACCATCTTAGGAAAAAAGGGTCTTCGTGTGCCTAGAATTTGCCATCGTACAGTATCAGCAGTAACACGGGTCAGACCATTGCTAAAACACGCCCTTTGCATGCGGCCAAGTCATCAAGGTTTTCATCTCTTTGCTCCTCTCCCTTTTCCCATTATTTTGCTATTTGCTCCTAAATACTGGAGTCTTAAATTATACTTAATGTAATGGAACAAGCAGAAGCATGCAGGGACAAATTACATAGCAGATATAGAAGCAAAGTACAGTTCAAAGGCCGCTCAAGATAAGAAGAAGAAACACAGCACTGACCTGCAGTAATCATTAGCTGCACCTGTGGCCTGGACATCTGCCCAGCCCTGAAAGAGACTGGGGTCACCAAAGTTTGCGATGTCGTAGCGCCGCTCTGGGATGCGTTTGTTGGAGTACGAGATCACCTCAACCTCAAACCCGTCGTCCTTTCCCAATTCCACATCTAAGGGTGCAAACTCTGGGATAGATTTTTGCAAAGTCTTGCTTGGAACGGCTGAAATGGACTGCTCGACAAATAATATCTTGTTGGCACCTAGGAAAGGCAAGATATGAAAACAATAGTAAGCATTTGTGTTATGAATCTCTTCTTTGCGTTAACTGGCTGTAAACTCCGGCGGAAAGTTCTGGGTATTTGTCCACCTCTGGACTTTAGTCTTGTTCCAGAACATGAGTGTTGCGTGGACATCCGCTTGACACATCTGATTTATCTGAATGCAGACCGTTGGTTCCTTGCCTCTCAAGCAAATGCACTCCGACTTCAAAGGAAGCCTCAGTTAATCGACTCTTACGACATGCTTGTCGGGGAGACAGTGGATCTCTTCTTGTTTTCCTTACAATAGGGGCCCGGAACCCACACGGGGAGTGTTGACAATGAAAATTAACCTTAAAAAGGGAATATACAGTGGTACCTTCATATAAGTAATTAATCCGCTCCTGATCCTTTACGTATGTAAAGCAAATAACCCTCTTCCACGAATTAAGGCGTATCGGGTAAATAGGACTAGACCTATCTCGAAGTCGGAGTACATCTGCTCGTAAGTCAGGGAGAGGCAAAAGCCAGTAAAACGGTTGTACACGCAAAACTCAGGTCCAGGTAAAAGCCAAGTCAAAGCGGACGATCAACTGGGACCTTCCACCGGAATTTATAGCCGGTAAACGGAGAAAAAGAAGAATAGACTAAACGGCACTTGATAAGTAATCTGGTCAGCATCACGACGCCGCCTTTACTTTCCAGGACTGTATCTGGTACCTACTCAAGGCTAGGTCGACCTGCGAGCCAAGGTAATTTTTGAAAAAGTCCAACCCCAGTCAGGACCCGAACCCACAACCTTTTGATCAGCAGAAGAGGGTTTAGCTGCTAGACCACGGCGGCTCCCTAAACAGTACGTATACGAACGGCATTTTCACATAAGAACTAAAGGTAGAATAATTAATTCGTTTCCCTGCAGAAAGTAAATCCTAATCTTATTGACAAATTAATCATTTATGGGGTGGTGTAAAATTATATATATATATATATATATGTGTGTGTGTGTGTCTCCAAATGCTGTTACGCCGAGGGCGGGGCTGAGGATAAACTCTCAGTCTCCATGAAATACCCTCAAGGCATGCCTCTCTCAAAGCCTCTGACAGCAAAAGTCCAACTCCTGGCCTTCTCGTGGTGGAGATGTTTAAACTAACAGGAGAAGGGGCGAAAGCGGGTCTCTGGCGCTTTAACCAAACGCTTCGGGTAGATGAGGCTCGTCAGTACGGGAGTGCAGCTCATCTAGGAGAAGGTAAACTCTGACTACACACCTCCACTGCCTTGTGGCCATACCCATTTTTGGGAAAGCGCTTCGGGAGTAAACCCTGAGGAAAAATCCGGAGCTGGAATCCCTAAGGCGGTTTAGCATTGTATACAGTGCTATTCCGGCAATTCCTGCAACGTCCTCGGTGCCAAGTTGTACTGGTTTTTGCCTTTCCCGTGGTATCACCGGCGACGTAGAGAGGGGGTACTTGCTGCCTGGGCAACAGTCTGTACTCCAAATCAAAACGCCCTGGCCTGTGCCCTGGAGAGGTCACTCCAGCGATGCTTAACAGTTTCGACACAACACGGGAAACAGCAGTCACCGGTTACAAGCCTTTGCTCAACTGGCGTAGAGCTAGATGCCAGGGGTTGTTTCCGACGGTGGGAGAGACCATCGTAGTCTCATTGGACAGCTACCGCCCGCCTCAGCTGGGCAGCCCCCAGTCAGTAAGTTGTTGTCCAGCCACGATCCGTTCGCCTTGTTGGGTGCACAGGACTTAGGGGATAACCCGACACACGGATTGTAATCCTTGTACCTACACAAAGAAGCCAAAAAATCAGATTCCCAGCTCTAAAGCTGGGCACATGGAACGTGAGGACCATGACACCTGGTATTCTGGACGATCTGCAGCATATGAGCGATGTAAGGAAAACTGCAGTCATTAACAATGAACTATCCCGTTTGAACGTGGACATTGTTGCCCTACAGGAAACCCGGCTCTCCTCCTCAGGTAGCATCAAAGAGAAGGACTTCACATTCTTCTGGCAGGGAAAACCATCTTCGGAGTCCATGGAACAAGGCGTAGGCTTTGCGATTAGGAACCGATTGCTTGGAACTGCCACACCACTTACAGGAGGATCAGAAAGGATCCTTAAAATTCAGGTCCAGACAAGAGCTGGACCAGTCACTCTGATAAGTGCCTAAGCACCAACCCTGCCCTCTTCTCCCGACTCCAAGAACAAATTTTACGAGGAACTCAGTTCCACACTCAGCGAAATCCCGGACAGGGAAGCCCTATTCATTTTGGGTGACTTTAATGCAAGAGTGGGCGCTGAGCACAGCTCATGGGCCATCCTGTATGGGACATTTTGGAGTAGGAAAAATGAATGAAAATGGACAGAGGCTGCTTGAGCCATGCTGTCTTCACAACCTCTGCATCACAAATACCTTTTTTGATCTGAAGCCCCAGCACAAGGTCTCTTGGAGACATCCCAGATCTAAGCACTGGCACCAGCTTGACATGATCCTCACTAAACGCAGTCACCTTCATCTTGTTAAGGTCACTCGCAGCTATCACAGTGCAGATTGTGACACAGATCACTCCCTTGTGTGCAGCAAAGTGAAGTTAATCCCAAGCAGAATAAATCGGGCAAAGAGGCCAGGACGGCCCCGCATTGACACAGGAGAAAGTCGTAATCCTGGAAAAGTAGGAGAATTTACAAAAATCCTGAGCACAGCTCTGTCCGGCCCACCAAACGCGGATGCTAGTGACAGATGGAAACATCTAAAACACGCCCTATATGATTCTGCCATGTCAGTGTTCGGTAAGAGGCAAGTTAAATCACTGGACTGGTTTGAGGAACATTATGTTGCCAATAATAGAGGAGAAGAACAAAGCTTTATTGGGATATAAAATCCAGCCGAATATCAGAAATCTGCAAGTTCTCTGGTCCATTCGGTCTAGAGTCCAGAAAACTGCACGGCGCTGCGCTAATGATTACTGGATCAAACTTTGTGAGAGGATACAAACAGCAGCTACTGGCAACATAAGGGGAATGTATGCTGGCATCAAGAAGGCTATTGGGCCAGTAAAAAGAAAGATTGCCCCTCTCAAATCAACCACGGGCGAAATCATAAAGCAGCTGGACCGATGGGTGGAGCACTACTCAGAGCTATATGCTACAAGCACCTTTGTATGTGAAGAGGCCTTGAATGCAATGGAGTGTCTGCCAACCATGGGTGAACTAGACACGGAACCCTCCGTCACAGAAATCGGTGAGGCAGTAGATGGGCTTCCTTCAGGGAAGGCCCCGGGAGAGGATGGTATCCCACCTGAGATCCTAAAATGCTCCAAGGATGCTATTCTTCCTGAGCTACACAAGATCCCCTGTCAGTGTTGGCAAGAAAAATCGGTGCCACGGGATATGAGAGATGCCAACATTATAACTCTCTATAAAAATAAGGGAGATAGAAGCGACTGCAACAACTATCGCGGTATCTCTCTATTGAATTATGAGGGAAAAGTCTTTGCTCGTGTTATCCTAAAGAGGTTGCAAATTCTAGCGAACAGAGTATACCCGGAATAAAAGTATGGGTTTAGGGCCCAGAGATCAACAGTTGATTTGATCTTCTCCCTCAGGCAGCTACAAGAGAAGTGCAGAGAGCGACAGAGGCCACTGCTCATTGCTTTCATAGATCTCACTAAGGACTTTGACTATGTCAGCAGAGATGGTCTATTCGGGATCATTGAAAAATATGGATGCCCACCTATAGTACTGAGCCTAATCAAATCCTTTCATGAGAATATGAGGGGGACCATAATATATGAGGATTCATCATCTCGACCCTTCCAGATTCGAAATGGAGTAAAGCAAGGATGTGTTCTGGCTCCCACGCTGTTTGGCATCTTTTTTACCGCATTATTGAGGCGTGCTTTTGGGACAGCAACTGAGGGGATATACCTCCGTTCGAGGTCTGATGGCAATCTTTTTAATCTGTCCAGGCTACGTGCAGGGACGAAGGTGCACACGAGATGCCTCAGGGATTTTCTGTTTGCGGATGATGCAGCCATTGTGGCACATTCAGAGGATGATCTGCAGATCCTGATGAATCGCTTTGCAAATGCTTGCAAAGAATTTGGGCTTACCATCAGTCTTAACAAAACACAAGTGATGGGATTGAATGTTGGAAATCCACCAAACATTAGTGTGTATGACCATCAGCTGCTGGCTGTAAATGAGTACCTAGGCTGACGTATCTCAGGCAATCCTTCTCTGGATGCAAAACTAAACAAACGTATAGGAAAGGCCTCTGCTATGTTTGCAAATCTCACAAAGAGAGTCTGGTCAAACAAAAAGCTAACTGATAATACAAAAATGAAGGTTTATGAGTCTTGTGTCCTGAGCACATTACTGTACGGCTGCGAATCCTGGACTCTCTATGCTCCACGGGAAAAAAGACTGAATACCTTCCATATGCGCTGTCTGAGACGCATCCTTGGTATATTATGGCGAGACCTTGTCTCCAACGAATGAGTGCTCGCAAGAGCAAAAATACCATCAATGTATTGTATACTGAAGCAAAGACGTCTGCGCTGGCTGGGACATGTCTCCCGCATGGAGGATGGTCGTATTCCAAAAGATCGCCTATATGGTGAATTGGTAACTGGGAATAGACCTACAGGAAGGCCAAAGCTGCGCTATAAAGATGTATGCAAATGTGACCTAATAGTTACCAACATAGGCACAGAGACATGGGAAAAATCAGCTGCAGATCGACTACTATGGAGACAGAAAGTGAAAGACGGACTGTCACATTTTGAAAGAAACCGAACACAACGAGTTGTGAAGAGGAGACACCGGAGAGTAAAACTGCCTCACAACGAGGGAGTATCTGCTTTTGTGTGTATCCTGTGTGGCAAAGGCTGCCATTCCCGCATCGGACTTTACAGTCACAGCAGATGCTGTTCCCAAAGCCAGCGGCACATCTCCATAGTCCCCCGGGACTGACTGATGCCATTTTATATATATATATATATATATATATATATATATATATATATATGTGTGTGTGTGTGTGTGTGTGTGTGTGTGTGTGTGTGTGTTTGTGTTTATATATATATACATACACATACAAATATACATATATATATATATATATATATATATATATATATATATATATATGTGTATATATATATAAATGTATATATATATGTATATATATATATATATATATATATATATATATATATATATATATATATATATATATATATATATATATATATATATATATATATATATATAATGTCTAATACTAAAAAACATAAATAAAAAAGCAGTTAGATAAAATAAATATATATGTATGTGTGTGTATATTTGAATGTATACAATGTAGAGAGATGAAGTACATTGAACAGCAAAAAACAAAGTTCAGACTCATAAACAATAACGCTGTGAGTGAGTTAATCTGGTCTTGTTGCCACATGGCTCACAAGCTCTGAGCCCAGCCGACAGATGTAACTGGCAGGCGGCAGCAGATAACGTCACTTTGGATAGACGGCTACAGTTTCTCAGCGCCGGAAGACAAAGTGTAGACAGGAGAAGCCCGGAAGTCAACACAAATTACAGCTGTGCCATTCGACACTCTCTGAGATGGAAAGAAAGCAGAAACACGTGGACAGGTTCGCGGAGGTCAATAAGAAACGTTAACTTCAAGACATTGCGTCTTGTTAAGTTTCGTTTTTTCTTTTCCGGTTCCCACATTTTATTTTTTTTATTTTTTTTTTTTTTGGTTTAAATTTCCCATCAGACCCAGTTTTTGGTCGTTTAAAAAATTTCAAAGAAAACAAGGAAGGGTGAGAATACAGTACTGCTGAAAGGTGAACTTTGTGGCATGCTTTTTTTTTTTAAAGATGACATGTCTTAAATGTTACCGTCACGGTAATCTTTAAGAAAGTTTTTTTTTTTTTTCCCAGAAAGATGGAAAGATAGACTCAAAGAGCCATTTATCTTATACGAATCCAGTGCGAGCTAATACTAGTATATATGATCCAAACATATAAAACAGTTATACTGGGACATCTAGTTACTAGGTAGCCTGTCCTCCTTGGGTTGGGTGCTTTTTCAGGTTAGTATGTAAAGGACCTTTTCTCGCCATTTGGCTACGTCGCTAATGCTGCCTCAATAACAACATGTATTAATGAGACCAACATTATCACACATTTGATCTAAACACGGCTTAACACACACACACACACACAATGGTGAGGAGGGGAAGTGGGGGGGGGGGTGTTCAAAAGGTGTGCATGTGCAAACACACACAACTCGGTGCTGATGGAACCAGATGCATGATTTGACCAGTTTCACGTGCAGAGATCGTAAAGGGAAAGCGCTAGTAACTTTCAATTTCCTGAGAACAAACCAGCTCTGGGTTGTCTCCCACAGACGGGACTGTTTATATAAAATGTAAACAGGCGTCTGGCTAACAGCAGTGTACCCAGACTGCCCGTGGACTACCGGTGATTTAAGGCGTACCTGCTCTGTGAGGTATACTATCTTATCTAAATTGTTTTGAGTTCTTCTCTTTTTCATCGCCACTGAGTTCCAATTTGGTCTACACATTGTTCATTTGGCATTATATACCCGAAACGCCAATGGTATTTAAAGGATCCTTAGCTTATTATAGACTCCTTCTCCACCCCACTCCTCCCCAAATATCAAACTTTGTCAAAACCTGCATTTCTACTTCTATCGCATACAAGCAACATTACAGTATATTCCATTCAGGGGCAGAATGTGAGCAGTATCTTCCCCTTTGTTCACATCTGGTTTGCTTTCGGTAATTTATGTAAGCTAAATCTGGCTACCGTAAAAAGCTGGAAGGTTTTTGAATTATGTTTTCTTTTTTGTTTAGCTCAAGCCACTTCACATTTCCTAGTCTAAGGGACACAAAATGATGTGACTGACTTTCACATTATCGGTATTAATTGTATCTATTTTAATTATTTAACTCAAAACGGATAACTAAAATATGTGTGAAAATTAGGAGCATCTACTGTATTTTTGTCAAGTCTTCCTCTTGTGGGATGTATTTTTTAATTTTTTTTTTTTTTTAATTTTGAAGCCGCGCCCTGGCTTGTACTGGGGGCCCTAAATATAGCCGGACCTTAAATATGGCCTAACGGTTGAGCGGGGTTGCTGGGACCTCTCCACAGGTGATCCTCATCTGAATGGTGGCATTTTGTGTCACCAGGTGTTTATTGATTGTGTGATGTCCTGGTGGGTACAACTTACCTTATGGTAATTTATGAGTTTTGTTTATATTTTTCAGATTGTTTATCCTTCTTCTTTACTTCCCTCCTCTTTTACCGCTTCTGATGTCGAGAGAAATGCACGGTTATTGCCATAATGTATTCACCTTACATGCTGCCGTTTAGAAACTATAACTTACCAATCAAGTTGATGCAATTTTCTGTTGGAAGTGTCTGGCACTGCCCTGGCCACAACTGGGCTCCAGACGTGAGCAACCTTTGACCTTCCTCTGTGGCGAGCTGACACATTTGTCTACATGGCTGGGAAAGTATGTTTACCTTGCTGCCTTCTGTACCGCCAAAATCGCTGTTTTTGTCGACACAAGGTGGAAGGTACAACGTGCACACGAATGCGATTATAGCGCGACTATTTTGAGAAAAACTGTTTAAAATTGTATTAACTTTTCTATTTGTTTCTTTCCAAGAAGCGACTTCGTTAGAATTCTTCACGAAGGTTGAATTGTACATTTTAGAACATTGTTTGACCTCAACAGATCTGCAAATCTGATGAACAGAGTCTGCCTTTGTTGATCCAAGTGCCGATGCTGGTCCTTTAAACGATGAGAAAGATGTCGTGGATGATACATGGCAGGATAAAATAATCTGAAGGATGCAAAAGATGCTGTTCCTCAACTTCATTTTGGGTTTAGCGAACTGCAGATGCTGAAGCTGCTTGTGTGATGATTATGTCGTCACGACAAGGAGTTCCGCTAGGATCGGTGAATGATACAACAGGAAATGGCTGCAAGAAACATAGTTATAGAGTTAATCCTGTGATGCATCAGATTGTATAATTATATCTAGTGTCTGTGAGTCACGTAACAGCGAATTAACAATCTGTTTAATTGGCGAAATCTATTTTGTTCAGAACATATATTTCTGTCCTGATCCGACTATTACAAATAACAATAAATACATAAATGTAATCTGGAAGTGGGACTAGAAAGAATTCACCAACAAACAAAAATCACATAAATACTCTACATCATACACTACAACAGTCTAATATGTAATGTGATACTGGGAAAACATAGGTTCTTGTGTTTTTCTCCCTAGATTGCAAAAACCCTCATGTGTTTAATCATTACTTACACCCCCGCCCCCACGCCCACGCCTTTCCCACAAGCACCGACCAAAACATGTGATAAGGTCAGCAGACCCATATTAATAAAGAAAAAAGGAATGTGAGTGGAAAAGTGGGGGGGGGGGTAGGGGTGGGGGGGTTAAATGCAGGCGTGGTGAAGAAAGGTCAACCCCAGACAGGAAAGTTTCATGAATAAATAAACAGAGATACCCCTGTGGGTTCTAGGGCCCCATTGTGGGGAAAGCAAGAATGGACCTAGTGCCACCCATACAAGCATGTCGTAAGAGTCGACTAATGATTGCTTCCTTCGAAGTCAGAGTGCACGCAACGCTCAGGTTCCAGAACAAGACTAAAGTGCAGAGTTGGGCGAACAACAAGAACTTCACGCTGGAGTTTACAGCTGGTGAACGCGAAGAAGAAGAAGAGGAAGAAGAAGAAGAAAAAGAAAAAGAAGAAGAAGAAGAAGAAGAAGAAGAAGAAGAAGAAGAAGAAGAAGAAGAAGAAGAAGAAGAAGAAGAAGAAGAAGAAGAAGAAGAAGAAGCAAAAAATGGATACTGGGCCAGAGAGGAGTAATACAAATTTTGGAATCATTTGCGAATAGACAGGTAATCTAGAAAGAAAACAAAACAAATAAAAAAAAAACTTTAAAATTGAGAAAAATATCACAGATGGAAAATATGACAGTTTCTAAAAAGATTGCTTGAAGATCCTTCTTCCCAGTCCTTGAACGCCCTAAAGAAAATGGGTAATACAAGCAGTTTTTACAAAATTTGATCCCTAGGTCTGGATATGTTTTCAGCACGGTGCTCAGTCTCCATAGCACCAGTAAGGACTGAAAGGCGCTAAAAGTATTTTGTGTATATGTGTGTGTGTGTGTGTGTGTGTGGCATGAAACTTTTAAGTAAAAAGCAAACTTGATCACAAGATGAAACAGGGCAGACCCACCCTTCAGTGGGTTCTTCTTAAGAAACACAATCAGATACAATGCTGAGAGGCGTCATCCCAGATAAATTGCGCTCAAGATATAATCTCCAAGGTGCTTTGCCTCTGAAGCCGTTTGATGACATATGTGTAATATTACATCTGGTTTGACTGAAATAAGCTTGCCTTTAAGGGGCTGCGTGGTCTCCAGGCACGGTGTCTGCCTCTAGTGCTAGAGCTTCCGGTTTCAATCCCCAGAAAGCGCTAGGATTTTCTCACGTGGACTTGGACTTTTAATAATTTCCCCTGGTCTCTGAGCAGTGAGATCGGACGCACGTTTGTTGCGCACGTAAACAAATCCCTTGGCAGTTGGAAACTGAATTGAGTAGCATAACTGCGCCGCCTGGGCAACATTTGGAGTTTAAAATCTACCCAAAGTATTTATGGATCCTCGCCGGTGCTACAGTGCACTGTGCCGAGCTTCTTCGGACTCAGACGAGTTAAAAGAAGAACAGAGCACTTATGGGTTACTACCCGTGTACCGTAATGTTGATCCTCTGTTGTTGTTGTTTTTTTTTTTTTTAAGTATCCAGAAGCCATGAGTTGTTAACTCTTAGGCTCGGTATTATGGATATCGCAACCCCTCTGTCTTGATCCCATGATAAATACCGTAAATCTAGAAGAAATGTGGCTTTTCTACTTACCCCGGGAGTTAACCAGGACCACAAGGAGTTCGTCACCCGGTCACCCCCCCCCCCCCCCCCAAGCTTGCCGTTACTGTGTAAAAATAGTTTTCTAATTTGAAGATTCGGTGTACGATTTTGAATTTCACCTACCAGTGTAATTTTATCATGCACACCTCTGTGTTTTTCGCCTTTTACCGTTGCGACTGGTCAGGAGGGTCATTGAGTATCCTTGTGTAAAATGACGTTCCTCCCACACCACGGTTCGAATCAAGTCCCATTGAATTACAGGCAAATGTTCTCTCCCCAAGCTACCCGTATTTCATGCCACAATGTTTACAGCTGATGGAGTAAATAACACTTGAGAAAGTACAAGAAACTCTTCACTGTGAATGTTGATAGCATCATCGGGACTGCCACCGGGGAACTCTGTAGCACATGTGGACATGTACCCCAATGTCTAAGACAAGCACACTCGGGAGTTCATGCAACAATATCCAAGATGATTGTGAGAGTGCATTGTATAATAGATCATGTCAGCTTCTCTAGATTCTACAGGAGATCGCTACCATTACAGCCTGGCTAGAGAAAAAAAAAAAAACTTGGTCCCTCACCAGCTCTCCCACCTCAGGCATACAGTTTCCAGCCCACGGTGTCCTGTATCCACTTGAGCTGCCTCTCTTACTGGGTGTTACTGTTCTTTCCCAGCCATTGTGACATTGAACGTTGCAAAGGTATTTCAGTTTTTAATGAACGTGATGCGTTTACTAGTAAATTCTCTTCTGCGTTCAGATATATTTTGAATATCGATATTTCTTGTCGTCTTGGTCATGGAGACACTAAGAGTGAGTTGGTCTGGAGAAAATGTGGCCCCCTGGGGGCGCGCGATATGCTAGATTTGAACAGAAACGCAAGTAGAGACTAAAAACATATTTAGGAAACTTTTAGGCCACCATAGAAATATACTATGTAATACATGCATATTCTCTGGTTCTCAGATACAGAGAGGATTTTAAGTCTCAGAATACAACGGGCGGTACAAGAAATGAAAGCCAAAACCATATCTGACTTGAATCTAGCACTGCTAAAAAATTACATTATAATCAGGCAGAAAAAAAAAACACACACACACACACATATACACACATCAGGGGCGCCGATAGAATTAAAATATTGGCGAGTGGGGCAGGGGGTGTTCAGCTCTTTAACAAATTCTTAAGAAGAGGTCTAAAGGGCAGGGGGAGGGCATTATACCAGTTTAGGTTGCATAATAATACACTGTCGCTCAATCCCCTTATAAATTTTCTATGATCTGTTAGGGGTAAAAAGAATAAAGACAGGAGGGTAACCTCACTTTTTAAAAAAAATCATGTCTTAGTAACAAGTGTTACATTTCGGCAACAATAGAAAAGTAGCACGAACATGGGTTGGTTATACCATTTACTGTAAAATATAAACAATTTACGAAAATAAACTAATGTAAAAATGTCACTTACCCGAGCTCATGCTATCAGCAGATTATCTCTTCATTGAGAAAAATATACGTGTACCTAAATATTACAAGTCTTATAGTGGCTGGCATTTTGTGTATTTTTTTCCTGTAGTAATTGTTACACTTGACTCCCCGGATGCTCTGCATACACCCAATGATTACTCGTTTGTCCGTAGAATTCAGTCAGCCGACTCACTTTTTAGTGAGGCGACTACCCGCGAGCCACGCCTGCCCCCCTCACCTTCAACCTTCTCTATTTTGGGGTTATCTTCAAATTGTAGAGCGGAATAGTAAATAGGACGAACACTGCATGACTGGCGGAAGTTTATATTATGATTGTGCCGGGTTGGCGCCAGACAAAGAAACTTTCCCAGCGCTGACGGGCGAATGATTATCAGGTTTCGGTCACCAGTGGTGAATCTTTTCTGAGAGATAGCTTTAAACAACGTTGTGGTGGGATCATGTATGAAAATAAGAGTGCTGGAAGAGTAGTGAAGGTGTATATGTCTGCGTGTCTTCTACCCATGCCCGATGAGCTGTATGAATTATTTATAGACAAAGACGCTTAGGTTCGAATCCGTGAATTTTTTTTTTTTGGGGGTTGGAGATGACCTTGGCAAAACAGGCTGACCTAGCCTAAAATGGATATCAGTAAAATCCTTGAAAGGAAAGGCGGCTGTGATGATAATCACATCACGCATTGAGTTCTGATTGGTCTATTAAAAATGGATCTGGCATTTGCTAGATGCCGGTGTTAGACTAAAGAATGTATACACAGTAATCTCACAGTAGTAAAATGCACAAACATTGAGGCAGAGACTACTTGTTTAAAAACGTCATCATTCTGTGACATACGGCGTCATTTAGATCGAATTACGGTAGTTATTCCTTGTATAACGGGTATAGAGCTAGTGGAAGACCTCGGAAAAAATGGAGTGATGGCATTAAAAACAGTCTTACAGAAATGAACATCAGTGTTAATAGTGCTCTTGATAGAGCTTATCAACGAACATTACATCCCCCTCGATGAGGTATGAGATGGAAGAGAAGAAGAAGAAGAAGTCCTTGTATTCTGGTTACGGAAAGTGTCTGGAGGCTAATGGGGAATCACCTTAAGCACCTAAATAATTTCACACATCACACTTACCTTGTGTGCATCTCTTCGTGTCTTAATACATTTAGTATCAAAATGTTTATACGGGTTGGTATTTTTTTTAAAACTCCATGCAACACTTTACTTCTTCTTCTTCTTCTTTTTCTTCTTCTTCTTCTTCTTCTTCTTCTTCTTCTTCTTCTTCTTCTTCTTCTTCTTCTTCTTCTTCTTCTTCTTCTTCTTCTTCTTCTTTACGTCCTCTTTTACCGCTTCGAGTGTCGAGGGAGACATAAGGTCCTGCTTCGTGCTTTTATGGCTGCTTCAACTAAAGATACAATTAAAACATTGGCGAGTGTGGGAAGTGTG